GTTACAAGAATTTATATCCCAAGCACCGGTCATTGTCCGAAGTTACAATTCTGGTATTGGTAGCATGGTAACCATTACAAGAGATCAGAAATGATGACATGAGTTTTCTTTTGCAAAAGAGCCCTGGTAGTCTTTTTACAATTTACTCTGACATCCATGACGGATACTCTTTCTATATTTTAAATAGAGACAAAGAATTCTAACAAGAAGCAGAATATCTTCCCCATTCAACTCCCAAATGAGAGACCCAGATGTGACTCTCACATAACGCCTACCAGGAAGAGGAAAGGGGAATGTACTGTCCAGCAGCAACTCAATAGTAGGTACCTGCCAGAACTGGTCACCAAGCAAGGCAAGAATCATGTATGTATCCCTCACACAGTTGAATCCAGGCCATTCCAAATGTACACAGTGAAGTTTGCTTTTGAGTAAATGTAAATAATTTGGCGTATCACCACAGGAAAAACTATATGGTAAGCAAGGGTTGGAAAATTTTAATAGCTGGTGACTTTAAGCTATAATGTTGTCACCCTTCTCCACTATAGAGTTGCATCTTGAAGGGCATTATGGTGTCCCACTCCCCAACAAGCAACCCCTTGCTCTTAGGTGCCATTAATATGCTCACTTCCCAATGTAAAGCTGAGGCCCAAAGAGTATGGCCCAAGGGCACATAGCTAATAAATGGCAGCCAGCCAGACTGCAAACCCAGTACCACCTTAGACTGACCGTAAGTACTGCAAAGTTCTTTATCCTTTCACTGTATTTCACAAGGAAAGAAAACAGGGCCTGAAAAGTAGGAGACGTAGACAAGATAACGCAGCTAGTGCATTAGAGAGCTGCCATTTGAAAACCCGCATGATAAGTGCATGCATGACCTCATTTATCACAGGCAACTCTGAGATTCTGTTATTCCCATTTTAAGAATGAGGAAACTAAGGCTTTAAAAGTTTAAGACTTTACCTAAGGATAGAAAGCCTTTTTTAAAAAAAGGAGAAAGAGGCCGGGTGCGGTGGCTCATGCCTGTAATCCTAGCTCTCTGGGAGGCCGAGGCAGGCGGATTGTTTGAGCTCAGGAGTTTGAAACCAGCCTGAGCAAGA